TATGCATGTCTGACAGCCACCCAAGCAATGGAGTGGACATTTCCTGAGGAGAAAAATTGGTAAACTAGGATTCAGTAGCCAGCATTGGAGCAAAAGTAGTTCTAGGATAAAACATGCCATTGAGTGACTAAATCCCCTTCTGATTACTTCGATTATCGTTTTCCAGAATAACTACAAGGATGCAAAGCAGAAAAGGAGTTTATGGGGTTCAACCTAGCAAATGATGAGGGGGCTATCTCCAAAAATTGCTGGATAACTCATGCAATTTAAAGAACAATCTGTATGAAAAGTCCAAAGGGAAACACAGTAAAATACAAAGAGGAATCACGAACCTTAATTAATGTAACGATATCTTCCATCTGGTGAAGACAGCTAACAAAGTGTATCAATGCTGACAAAAACCTGCAACTCTTAAAATTAGAAACTGATACTGAAGTCATCAAATTGGAAGGCCTAATAAATTTCAGAAGCAAAACTGATTATTACCTTGATGGTACAGAGAGCTTTGCCGGTGCATCGATCCCTTTCTTAACCAGGAACAGTTTCATAAACCTGCGTAAACCATGTTCTATGAGAACCAAAAGTTACAGATATTCCGATATATAAGTAGAAAATTTTAAAGATGCGATATTTTCTCCTCTCAAAATTTAAATTACTTCTGAGGATAAAGAAAAAACTCAAAACTAGGAAATATCGAGCCACATACATTTTCTACTTGACAGACAAAAGATGCTAATGATTACCCTTGTAGTATTAACTTCATAAATTTTAGTCCTCGCAAACATTCACCATTCTGACTCCAAGTAAAAGATTCACATTACAAAGGAAAGAAAAACTGAAAGGGGTATACTGTGTGCAAATACTGCATGAGTAAAACAATAAATGGGCACATAAGAAGTGACAAACTGCAAAAAGACCCCATGATCCTATTTAATATATTTGTTATTCTAACAACACAAAACTTCCTTTTTAGAATTCTATGTCTACCAATTCTTACGAGTTGTCAAGTCCATGGTACTAACAATGGCCTAGCAAGATCTGAAAGAAAAAGCAAGTCAATTTTGTTACTGATTTTCCAGTCAGATCTTAGTTATTGTATGTTCGAGTTCATGACAGAGCCATGAGATTATTGCTTCTTAACCTGTACTGCAAGCTTACAAGAGTATTTTAATGCAGTCATGTCAATGCAACTGTAAAAAGCCAATTCTATGTCATTGACTGAGAGGGGTCAAAGGATTGCAACGAATTGCGCCTTTCATGGTATAAAACTATAACCAAGTTCATGCTTACCGAGCTGCTAACTCCATGCTATTCTTCATGTTACTGCAAATTCTGCCATCACAATCCATGTTTTTGCTTCCTTTAAAGCTTATGCTCAAAGTTAATTGCTCAAGGAAATACAAGATAATGTTTTCATACAGTGTAAGAAACCCCTGATTCTCTACACTGCCAACTGCTAGTCCAATTTCATCAAAGAATCCATTCAATATTGAGCACAGATCCTCGGAGAAACTCTTCACTCGGGAACCCTCAGATTGTAAAGAATGGCTCACAGAAACAAAAAGCAACTCCCACAGTTCAATAACATCATGAATCTCAACCTTAATATGAGGGAAAGAGCATAAAGCAAATGGGTATGACAAGAAATATAATACTACAGAATAACCAAGGTTGTCTAACTCCATATTCAGCACCAACAGATCCCTTCTACCATCTATGTAGTCTTTCAGACAGTTCGCTAGAACTATCCAAATCTTTAAACAATTGAATACTTTGTGTTTATACAGTAACCCAATAAATGCATGAAGAACTTCCAGAGGATCACCTAAGGTTAATAAAAACTTCACATGTCCATTCATTGATAGTAATATGGATTCACAATCAGGTGCCTGTAAAGTTGAATGCACTACCACATAAAAATAGAGTCTACTCAAATACACGACTGGTGAAGCCATGTCCACATTATTATCAAGGCAGATACCTTCCACTATTACACTTCTAACCTCATCAGCAGGTTTTAATTTTTCTATGCACTTGAGGTCTAATGTCACTTTGTAAAGGGGAGATCGTAACATGGAGGGTTCTAGCCCCTTAGATGCCATCTCTAAAAATTGAAGGCTAATAAGGCATGAATCATCAATACAACTATCTTCTAAAGTCAAGTTTTCACATAGTTTCCCCAAGAACCTCATAATTGTGTTCAAACATTGCATCAACTCATCATAAGTAATGGAAACAGATTTCAGAGAAGTGTTAACTGCTTTTAGAAGAGATCTGAATAACCTAAGGGCAGCATCCCCCTCCAGTCTTCTGAGCTCAGGGGTGACCGTGGCTTTGGATCCTTGAGTGGCAAGGATATAAATCATTTTTGTAAAGAAATTCAGCTGACATAGATCCCAGGGTGACCATTTTATTGGATGGTGTTTCAATAAGCATTTACCAGTTACAAGAGAAGATAATTTCACGGTTTCCTGGATATTCAGGTTGTTAGTCTCATCCTTATTTCTCCCCAAAATAAGAGCATCAAGCAGATCCACACAAGAATCAAATAACCAGATGTTCCTATTT